AGTGCTACTATCAACATGGGGGTGCATGTGTCCCTTCGAAACAGCACACCTGGGGCGCCTGGGTGGCGCAGTCGGTTGGGCGGCCGACTTCAGCCAGGTCACGATCTCGCGGTCCGGGAGTTCGAGCCCCGCGTCAGGCTCTGGGCTGATGGCTCGGAGCCTGGAGCCTGTTTCCGATTCTGTGTCTCCCTCTCTCTTTGCGCCTCCCCCGTTCATGCTCTGTCTCTCTCTGTCCAAAAAATAAATAAACGTTGAAAAAAAAAAAAAAAAGAAACAGCACACCTATATCCCGTGGGTAAATGCCTAGTAGTGCAATTGCTGGGTCGTAGGGTAGTTCTATTTTTAGTTTTTTGAGGAACCTCCATACTGTTTTCCAGAGTGGCTACACCAGCTTGCATTCCCATATGTTTATTTATTTTTGAGAGAGAGTGCAAGCAGGGGGAGGGGCAGAAAGAGAGGGAGACACAGAATCCAAAGCAGGCTCCAGGCTCTGAGCTGTTAGTACAAAGCCTGACATGGCACTTGAATTCAAGAACCGCGAGATCATAAACTGAACCAAAGTCGGATGCTTAACTGACTGGGCCACCCAGGTGCCCTAATCATTTCTTTTTTTTTTTATGTTTTTATTTTTTTAAGTAATCTCTACACCCAATGTTGGGCCCAAACTCACAATCCCAAGGTCAAGAGTCATATGTTCCACTGACTGAGCCAGCCAGGTGCCCCTCTCATAATCCTTTCTGCATGGAATTAAGAGTGATTTTTTAGGGAGTCACTGGTCCTAAGAAAAGGAACTTTTGAAAGGTTTCATAATATAATCAAGCAGGTGAATGTGACATTTTGAAAGTTTTAGGTACATGAAAGTAGTGGTAGGCAGTAGAAATTCAGTACTGCTTCTTAGTTTCCCAGTTTTCCCTGCTTCTCAGCTCTTTAGTCTTTAACCTTGATCCTTGTGATAGTCAGGAATGGATGTCTGTCCAGGACCTGATCTCTGCCCTCATGATTTGGTCCATGTGACCACCAGCCATCCACCCTGTTGTGCAGCGATAGACATTCCACCCTCACCCTCAGCATGTCTCATTCCCCCTGTCACAGTTGCCTGTGTCCTTGGAGTACTATACAGAGCCTCCTGAAGACAACCTGGCCCTCCTTCAGCTCTACTTCCGTGTCCTGGTTACTGGTGCACTCTGTGCACGCTGGTGCCCTGTACTCTATGCTGTGGCTGTGGCTCATGTCAACAGCTTCATCTTCTCCCAGGACCCAAAGAGTTCAGTAAGTTATACTGAAGGGAGGAAGGGAGACTGTGATTGAGCTGCCTTTGGGTCATCTGGGGAGGAGATGAGGGCCAGACAAGGCCAGTGATGGGTACAGCCCTTGGCCCAGTGTCCCCTGTCCCTGTTCTGCCTCTAGGACGAGGTAAAAGCTGCCCGCAGGAGCATGTTGCAGAAGACTTGGATGCTGACGAATGAGGTAGGATGGGGCACATCCTGGAGGGTGGGAAGAGAAGAGGTCTTGGGGCACAGAAATCTCAATAGGATCTCACTACCTACTTCATAAAGTTTCTGCCCCTTTTGCAGGGTCTCCGGCAGCACCTTCTCCACTATAAGCTCCCTAATCCTGCCCTCCCAGAAGGCTTTGAGCTGTATCTCCAGCTGCCCTCTCTGCGTCAGCAGTACCTCCAGAGACTGACCTCAGGGATGCTCCAAAATGGGGAATCAGAGACCTAGTATGGCTGCTACAGATGAAGAGATGGATACGTGCTGGGGTTCACCAACACGGGCCTGGCCAGACAGAAGGGTTTTGTGGCTTAAGCGTGGGCAGGAGACAAGGGAGAAGGCTTGCTTTCCTGGGAGCAGGCTGTGTGAGCTTTTTTGGAGCAGAGTGAGCCCTCCCATTATATCCTGATGTCTGAAACTCAGGATCTGGTCTGTATGGAAGCGAAGGGTAACTTGCCCCTCTCTTGGAGACCAGACAAACTATGTACATGTCTCCTCCTTCCCCTGCCCCAGACCAGATACATAAACCCTGTAGATGTGTACTGAAATAAAAATTTTTTGCATCTCCTGGGAATCCGAGTTGGACTGATTTCAGATGTTAGTTCAGGATTGGTATGGAGGGATGGGCTATCCTAGGGGAGAAGCTGGGCTCCTGTGAGAGATGGGAGAGCTGAAAACAGAGCCTACGTCCGGGAAAACAAAAATGTGGGTCCTGGTTCTGCAGTAGAGCTGGGCCGGAGTAATGCTCTTGGGAAGGGGTACTTCTGGAAGGACTCTGGGCAGTCCACTTGATGTATAAGTATCCTTAATGAGGTCGGCATCTTGTCTCCTTATGGTCTGTTAACTGCTCTCTGAGATACGAAGAAACCCGAAATCAGACTGTGCACTAGCTGTCTCTTCATCTATTTGGGCTGCTGTAACAATACCAAAGACTGAGTGCCTTATACACAACAGAAATTCATTTCTGTTCCTGGGGTTGGGAAGTTGGTCAAGATGCTGGCACAGTTGGTCTCTAGTGAGAGCCCACTTCCTGGTTCGTAGACAGCCTTCACATGGTGGAAGGGAAATGAGGGTGGAACCCTCATGACGTAATCACTTTCCAGAGGCCTTGCCTCCAAATACCCTCACGTTGGGTATTAGGGTTCAACCTAGGAATGAGGCAGGGATGGAGGGCACAAATATTCAGTCTATTAGCGTTGTCACACAACACCCCTTCCATTGTGGACTTGACTGGTAGTAGGTAAGGGCTGGGAAGGAGTGGATCAAACCATGAATTCTGATTCATTGGTTCATCTCTTGATAGAGTTTTTAGGTTCTTTCATCTGAATTCTAGCACTCAAGCTTTCTTAGAGTGTCATTTTCTGTGTGGAATTGCCTATAGTGTGTTTACAGGTCATCAGAGTGAGTGCAGTGTGCCCTATCAGCAGGCAGAGAGAACCCATTTCCCATAAATGGAGCTGCTGCACACAGAATTCTCCAGTAGGTTTATTAAGCAACTACTGCATCTGCAAACAGCAATAGTTCCAAACTGTCTTCAGGTGTGTTAAATCAATTGCTAGGCAGTGCACCAGTGTTCCTGATTGAGTAGACCTAGGGTGAAACCCAAGAATTTGCATCTCTAACAAGTTCCCAGGTGGTGCTGACGCTGCTATCCAAACCCAAACACACACTTGGAGAACCACTGGCTTACCGAAACCTTACCAAAGAAATTTTGTGACCTCATAATAGGATAACAGAGCTAAATAGGGTCTGAGGACTAGAGTGTTTACAAAATCACTGTAGTGTCTTTATCTAGCACTATATACTCAGAGGCTTCACCAACTACCTAACTACTGTCACTTCTTTTTTTTCCCCAGTGCTTTACATTACACACAGGTCTCAGCCTTTAAAATTTGTATTTTGGGGGGCACCTGGGCAGCTCAGTTAAGCGTCAGACTCTTGATTTCAGCTCAGGTCATGATCTCATGGTCCAGGAGTTCGAGCCCCACATTGGGCTCTGTGCTGACAGTGCAGAGCCTGCTTGAGATTCTCTCTCTCTCTCTCTCTCTCTCTCTCTCTCTCTCTCTCTCTCTCAAAAATAAATAAAGAAAACTTTTTTAAAAATTAATATTTTGGAAAAAGAATAAAGAAGACACAAAACTACCTGACAGCTAAGTAACCTTCACAGTTACACAGTTTCTTGTGGTTTACAGAGCAATCCCCCCCTCATATGATTTTATAGGTGGTGGGGAAACTGCCTCAGAACAGTGTGACTGGAACAGCATCACCCATTGACTAGAAATGCTAGTACTAGCACTTAGATCGTTGACATCAGGATTCAGGCTTTCACCCCATCACAGTAAGAAATTGTACAGAGTTAACACAGGCAATCAATTGTATGAGGTGAACCCAGAGGCGCATGTTTCTGAGAGTATCTGGAGAGTCGGCCTTTCAGTCACAAAGGCACTGAAAAGACACAAGTAATGACAAGTAATGCTGCATAACTTGGGGCTGTTTAAAGAGCACTTCCTATGTGTTTTACACACACACACACACCCCCCACCACCAATGAAGCAGTCACCGCACTGCTCCCGATGTGAGAGTTAGAAAGACCTAGAAGCTTGGGCAAGGTATCTAGGGTGTGGCTTGCCATTTTTTTCAGGCTCCAGCCTCAAAAGGGTGGGGGGCACTTTCTCCCCTACCTTGCACTCACCCCATTCTCTGAGACAGCCAGCAGCCAACCCAGTGGATCCAGACACAGAGCCCTTGGATGTGTGCTCCCAAGCCTCTTCCTGAAAGCGTGGGGACCTCCCTGCCCACCTGCCCCACCCTCCCCTCCTTCAGCATGGGAGTGGCCGGGGCCTTAGGTGGGAGTGGCCAGGCAGGCTTTAGGACCATCAGCGTCTAGCAAGTAGCTGGAGGCTCCTATAAGGGGAAGACAGGCAAAGTGGCAAGGTCTGAGCCTACAACCCTCAGTGCAGCAGGCTGAACAAGCCATGGGCTGCTTGAGCTGGCTGCTGCTATGGATTGGAGCCATGCGTAAGTACCTTCTGTCTGTCAAGGAACCACCTGGCTAGAGGCATCTTCCTAGGCTTTGCAAAAGCAGTGAAGGCAGACAGGTCCTGTGGCTCCCACAGAGGCCTGGAACCCTCAAGGCCAACACTTCTGAGTCAGTGCTCCAGGAGTGGGCCCAGAAGCAAGGTGCATACCTCAATCCAAGGTTCCCCATCTCTCAGCTTGGGAATGAGGGACAGGCCCTGGGGTCTCAGCACCGCCTGGGGGTGAGACTACCTAGCTAAGTCAAGGAAAGGGTGGGGGCGGCCCCCGGCAGGAACAATCTCAAGGCAGCCCCCAAGTCATTCACAAAGACTCCCCAGGGGAGAAACTTGCAGAGGTATCAGCCAGCACCCCATGGAGCTTCAGCAACTGCAGTTGGTGGGGGCCTGCTTCCAGTGGTGATAGGAGCATGGCTGCGAGAGGCAAGTGTCTGCATTTGTCTATCTTTATCTTCTGTCTCCCATTTAACATCCTGCCCCCTCTCCCAACCCCGCTGTCTCACTGTCACCTTTCAGGAGCCAGTCTCTGCTCCAGTCACGGTCCCAGGCACCTTTTCCATCATCCTTGCCCCTGTGGCTGCCAGCTCCAAGCCCCCAAGACGGAATATCACCACCCCACCTAGTGGCTTGGAGCCAGCTTCTCCCCTAATTCCCCCAGGTAAGCTCCAAGCTCCTTCCTCCCTTCTCCTCTGCTCACCTTACCAGTCTAGGGCAGGTGCTTATATGACCTTTTCCTCCTTCCCTGCTTCCAGGCACTGAAGGGCCTTGGTTATTCTTCTGCGGGACAGCGGCTGTGGAGGACCCACACAAACTGTGACAAGTGGTACACAGGCAGCAGCCTGGTGGCGACAGTGGGGGTCCGAAAGATTCTGAAAGGCATACATTTGTGGTGGGACAGGGCACTGACAGGTACCTGTAAGTGCAGAGCAGGGAGAGGTGGGTGGTGACCTTCCAGTCTGAGGTTCTAAAGTCAGGGGACCAACGGCCTCATGCACACCACGTTGTCTTAGAGTATTCTACAACCATGTGCGCCCTGGAGACTTTGTCCCTTCTTCCAGCAGAACCGGGGGAGGGTGGCAATAGTCTCCACGGAGTGAGCCAGTATCTAGCAGCCTGTTCCCACCAAATGGATTGCCCCTAACCACCCGCGGCGCCAACGGGTGCCTTGAGCCTCCGCTCATCTCCATTACGCCTGCTAAAGTAAGTGTAAAATCTAATTTTCTGGTGTGTAACCCTGGGTCTCCCCAACCCTTCAAAATCGACTACAGCCTAAGTCCCTGAGATAAATTCTGGAGCCGCTTCTGTTTCCGATCTCTGCCCCAGACGGGTAGCCCGACGACCAAAGATGCAGGGGCTGGGGACTGAGCGCCTGCTCTCCGCAGGACCTCAGCTTACGGAGCCGCGGGGAGCAAAGGCGCCAAGAACCACCCGTGGCGGGCGCAGGGCGTCTTCGTCTCCTCCCTCTTCTCCCTTGGTCGCAGGGAGCCGCTTTACATCCTAGTGGGGCAGCGGGGAGAGGATGCCTGTTCCCGAGTAAGCGGGGCCCGTGGGAAACGGCGGCTCAAGCTCCGCAGGAGTAGGGCTAGGGCCGGGCACTCCGCGGTGTTGAGACAGCCGCACCGCGAAAGGAGCATGGGGCCCCGCTGCATCCGGCGCCCCATGTCCCCAGGGGAGCCGGCAGAGCCAGCGCGTCTGTCTCGGAGAGACTCGGACCGCTGAGGAGCACGCGGCGACGGAGGGGGCCGAAGGGGTCCCGGGGTCGCGGCGCTGGGCGGGAGGCGGCGGGGCGCCACCTACATCTTTCGGGTACGTGTTTGCCTCGGCGCGCTCAGCACCCGCCCTCAGCGCTCCGCGTTGGGGTCCCAAATCTCCTCCTGCGAACGCGCGCACACACGCTCTGCGTCCCGGACTTGGGGTCCCCAGTCCCTGAGCCCTTACTCGGGTGCCAGGTGCACGGGTCCTCCCTCGACGGCTGGAGGGCGCGCCCCTCAACGCGCCGCCGTCCCCATAGCTGCGTGTCGGCGAGCTGGAGCCACTGCTGGTGGCGGCCGGAGGAGGCGGGCGGGCCTACCTGAGCCGCCAGGACCGAGGCTGCCCCTGAGAAACTGGAGAGCCGCTCAGCGACGCCCGGAAGCAGCGGGGGAAGCTGGGCCGTGGGGAGAGGCGGGCGTGCCCCCCATCTTCGCTGCCAGTCATCTTGCTGTCGCCCCGCAGGTGGAGGGGGCGGCTGGACGTCGCGGGCAGGGCCCCCTCTTCGCAGGCCGGCCGTCCACTGCTGGAGGGGGCGGGGGGCGGCCAGGGCTGCGCAGAGGCCTGGGCTACACTTGGCCGGAGGCTTCGGGGGCGGCGGCGGGGCCTGTACTGCGGGGTGGAGGCGGCGGCGGCGGCTACCCCGGCAGGTGCACTCTTGGGGAAGGCAGCTGGGCAGCTCCCAGGGTTAAGTGAAGTGAGAACCTTAGAGTAAGCCCTCTAAAGGACAGGTGGGAAAGGGCTTGAGCCCTGTCCTGGGCCAGAGCAATAAAAGTAATAGCTCTTAGAAAAAAGAGATCAAATAAGTTGCAAGCAGACAGAACTCATACAAGCAGACAGGACTCCCTAGATTTTCATTTAAATCCAGGACTTTTTTCATCACAACAGGTCTCCTGGTTCTACAGCAGCCGCAAGAGCTTAGAGCTGGCTGAGTTAGCAAGCCGAGCAGAGAGGCAGGAAGTCAGGGATAATTTAAATCAGCAGTTCTCAAAGTGTGGTTCCCGAACTAGTAGCATTAGCACCACCTAGGAAGTTACAAATGCGAATTCTCAGCCCCTTTCCAACCTACTGAATCAGATACTCTAGGGAAGACTCCTAGCCATCTGTGTTTTAATCAATCCTCTGGGTGATTTTAATACACTCCAGAGTTTGGAAATCACTGGTGTAAAGAGAGCTTTGGGGTCTGAGCCATACTGTTCATGAGTACTTTATACACATCTCCATTATCACAAAAATGGAACATGTGGTTTGGGCCTCTTCCATTTTATATCTGAGGACATAAAATCAGAGGGTTTTAGGTGGACCAGGAGGTTGCCCCTGCTCAGGTTGTCCCTGAGCAAGGCCTTCAGGTTCCAGCTGATTATGCCCATCCCACCTCCCTGGGCTCCTGGCTCCTGGCTCCCACTTCTGAGCCGGCAGCACCAGTATTGTAATGCTAGTGTAGAGAGGGCCACAGGGGATTCTCGCTAGGGAGACAACAGCTTCCTACTGTTCCCAAGCCAGTTTCCCATCTGTATGCCCCTGCCCCCCTCCCTCCCTCATTTTGTAGCCAAACACTCTAACACTTTCAGTTTCCAGGCCTCGGAGACTGACATCCTCTGGGTTGATGGAGAAGATGGGGTATCCTTCATACACCCCTGCAGCGAACGCTTTCTGCAGCCTCTGGCAGGTATTGGCCCCTACCTCCACCCCCCAGCTTTCAGCTGGGTCTAGCCTTCTTCCTCAATCTCTGAGCCCACTCCCATCTGAGCCACCAACTCTGCTCTGAACCACCTGTTTCTTGGACAGCACGGGAGTTGTCAAGAACTGGGTGGTCAATTGTGATGCCAGTATGAGGCCTTCTGGGGTGCTTGTCAAATATCTCCTACTATGAATTCTTTTTTTTTTTAATGTTTATTTATTTATTTTGAGAGAGAGTGTGAGCAGGGAAAGAGCAGAGAGAGAGAATCCCAAGCAGGCTCCATATTGTCAGCACAGAGCCTGGTGTGCCCCTCCTGCTATGAATTCTTAAACTCAATCCTCAATCCTCCAAGCTCCAGGATCCCAGAAGAGGGAGTATATGGACTTGACAGAGTCCTGCAAGCCCTTCCCCTACCCCTTCAATGCCTCTGGTGTTGCTCATTGTTCAAAGTCCAGAGCTAGAGTTAACCACATAGCTGGAAAAAGTATGTCTGTCCCCCACCTTCACCTTGCAGTATCAGTTGTTTTACTCATAGTCATGGAGAGCCACAGAGAGGTAGAGATCTGACTGCTCCTCAACTGTAGTCATTGCCATTGCCAGTGGCAGGCAGAGCTCTGGTTAGCCAAATGCATGTGCCCAGGGGGTATGGAGCTAGCTGCAGGTAACATTACATGCATGGTACAGGTAAGTCCTGCCTTTGTCCAAGGTCTGGACTCCTGGGGCCACGGGCTGGGAGGAGCAGTAGGCTGCTGGGAAAGATGACTGGTATGTGCCAGGCACCATTCTAGGTGCTGGGCAGGAGGCTGGATATGCATCAGTGCATGCTCTGCCCTCAAGGAGCATGTAGTCTAGTGGTCTAGTTTGGGAGGGGTGATATCTACCTATCCACCTATGTACCTACCTATTTCTCTGTCTAGATCTAGATTTAGATATCTATTAAAGTGACGATTGCCATGGGAGGTTTAAAATGTTTTAGGAGTTCTCAGAAAGGAAAGATTGCTTTTGTCTAGGATAAATAGGGAAAGCATCATGGAGAAGTTAACAGTTTGGCTGAGTCTTGAGGTCTGGGTAAAATTTGGGTAGGGGGACAGAGAAAAGCTTCCCACTGAAGGCATCTCTCTTTCTCCCTAGACCTGCCCACCTCACCAGGCCCTCTGGTTCTGTTGGTGACTGTTGTGACCTCTACATTGAGCCTCCTTATGGTGTGTGGGGTTCTTATTCTGGGTAAGCAACATCCAACAGGTATGGCTACGCACCATGTCACTGAGCTGCGCGGGGTCCCAGGGACAGACGAGGCTGATTTCAAAACCCTTGCTTCTGGGGCACCTGGGTGGCTCAGTTAGTTGAATGTCTGACTTTGGCTCAGGTCATGATCTCACTGTTTATGAGTTCAAGCCCTGCGTTGGGCTCTCTGCTGTCAGCGTGGAACCCCGCTTCAGATCCTCTATGCTCCCTCTCTTTCTGCCCCTCCTCCACTAGCACTCATGTGCCCACTCTCTCAAAACAAAACAAAACAAAACAAAACAAAACAAAAACCCTGCTTCCAGCAGAGCAGTGGTGGACTCCTCTAGGGTTCTAAGAGTAGAAGTAGCTGTGGAGGCCCAGGGAAAACATTTGCCTTAATGGACATCTGGAGAGATGTCCTGGGCAGAAGGGTAGCAAACAGTGTGGGTATCTTCTTGCCATCTTCTTCAGTGAACCATAAGAAGTGGCAGGGCCTGTGGTAGATGAGGCTGCAGGACCCTGAGCTCAAGCTGAGCTACCTTCAAACCTCCACCACCAGGACACCTCAACCGCTACTACTGCCAGGTGGGGTTTAGCCCCGCCCAGCCCTGGCCTCTGCCCCCAGGACTTACAGAGGTTTCCCCAGCCAATGTCACTCTGCTCAGGTGAGTTCTCCCCCTCCTTCTGAGAACCTATGCACTCTGAATCCCTCCCTCCTCCACCCCATTCCCTGCTGTGCTGAATTATGGTTCCCAGAGAGAATCTGGCCTCAACCCCTCTGTGGAGGAGACAGAGGCCAGAGAATTTCTAAAAGGCACAGTGACCTGTATAGGTCAGTTGTCATCCCCAGTCCTGGGATAGTAGGGACCCCATGATTTCTTTGGAGCAAGTATCTGCAAGGACATAAGGAAAACCTCATCACAGACTCCCACCCTCACTCACCCTAAGCCCATACCTGCTCTCTCTTCTCCCCTAACTCTGTGCCAGTCAGCATTGCCTCTGCAGGGCTTGTACTTGGGGAGATGCCATGATGCAGAAAAGCCTCAGAGTCCTCAGATAGGGCCACCTGGGTGTATAGGGAGTGGCAAGAGAGGTAAAGGAGGCACTAGACCCTCCAGGACCCTTCCCCAGGCCCAGCCACCCTCTCCCTTCCAACCTGTCTTCCTGCAGAGCACTGCGCCATGGCGCCTTGGGAGAAGTCTATTGAAGGACTGGTAATTGGCCTTCCTGGGGACCCCAACCCCCTGCAGGTGGCTGTCAAGGTGAGAGGGGTGGAACTCCTGGCTCAGGGTAGAGCAGGGCTCCATGGGGGGAGGAACAGTTGCTAAAGCTAGGATCAACTGGCCTCCTGAAATGTCTCAGGAGCCCTTTTCCTCCCCAGACCCTGCCAGAACTCTGCTCTAGTCAGGATGAGCTGGATTTCTCACCGCATCAGGTGCACCTGGGCCCAGGGGCAGGGGTGGAAGGTGGGCACTGAACTGCCTGCTGAGACAGCTTCTCTTCACCCTGGAGCTGAGAGGTAGCAGTTCTAGGGATACAGAGCCTGTCTCCACTTTTGTGGAGCCTAGAGCCTGGTTTCCTTCCCTGTCAGTGACTGGGGTATGGGCACCTCCCACACAGCACATTCAGCCATCAGAACATTGTGCACTGCGTGGGGCTCAGACTCTGGACTGCCCCTCGTCTAATTCTGCTGGAGTTGAGGTCTGGAGGGGACATGAACAGTTTCCTGAGGAACAACCGGCCACACTTGGTAAGACCCTTCTCCCAGCCCTCTTGGCCCATCTAAAGACCCTGTCCATGTGTCCCAAAACAAGCATGGACTAACACACCCTCTGCCCTACCCAGGGCCAGCCATCACCTCTGGCCATGTGGGACCTGCTCCAGCTGGCTCAGGACATAACCCAGGGCTGCCACTACCTGAAGGAAAATCCACAGGTTGGGAGTGATCCTGGCTCAGAGCGGGTAGGGAAGCAGCCCAATCTCTAATCCCCAAGGAATAGCTTTTCCACATAACTTTTATAGAAATAGTTCAGGGTCAGAGCTTCTGAGTTCTGGCAGTGATTTTTTTTTTTTTTTTTTGGCCTGCAGGGACATTGCTGCCAGGAACTGCCTGCTGGGCTGCACTGGACTCAGCCCAGTGGTTGGTACTGGGGACTTCAGGATGGCAAAATATGATATTACAGGTGTGGGGTCTGGGGACTCCGGGAAGGCTGCTGCTGCTTCAAGAGATTTACCAGCACTCTGGTGGCATTTGAGCAGTGTCTCACTCCCCTCCTCCCTCCTGTAGAACCAGTTATTAGGGGTGGGGGTGGGGGGGTAGGCTCTGCTGCCAGTCAAGTAGATGCCTGAAGAGGCCTTTCTGGAGGGCATTCATTTTCATATCCAAGACAGACTCCTGGTGATAACATGCCTGCCCCCTTCCCTGGCCTTGGGCCACCTTACATGAGGGAAAGGGAAGGCTGTGTCTGATGGGCTTCATTGAGCTTCCCCCACTCATGCTGCAGGTCTTTCGGGGTCCTGTTCTGGGAAATCTTCTTATTAGGCTACATGCCGTACCCTGGGTGCACCAACCAGGACATACTGTACTTTGTCACTGGAGGGGGACAGATGGGCCCTCCCAGGGGCTGCCCAGGCCTGTGTGAGTATGGAGTGTTGTCCAGGGACGGAGGTCCTTCATAGCCATGGGTGGGCACAAAATCCTATCTTTCTCCCAGGTACTGTACCATGACACGGTGTTGGCGGCACCAACCTCAGCTGTGCCCCTGTTTTGCCAGCATCTTGGAGCATCTTCAGTACTGTATTCAGGTGTGCCCCCTCACCTGCCTTGACCATCTTGATCTCGAGAGTCAGGAAGGAAGCCATAAAACAAAGCTGCTCCCCTGCCCTTCTATTACAGGACCCGGATGTGCTGAATTTATTCCTGCCAATGGAGCTACTGCCCACTCTGGATGAGGAAAAGGCTTCTGGGCTGGGGAGCAGGTCTTTGGAGGGCCTAAGATTCCCCACGGGCCCAGGAACTGAATCTGGAGAGCTTAAAGAGCTGGATAGGGGGCCTCCTTGGCCCCTGACTGCCCTCTAGTCCCAAGACCCCAAATCCAGGACCTCCAACCTCGGAAACTTTGGAATCCCCCCTATGACTCTTGGGCCCCAAGGGGCCCTGAAGGTGAGGACTCAGGCAGTGCAATGGTTCCTCCCTGCACTCTTCCTCAGGCTTCTAGGTAGCTTGTTATTCCAGTAGCCTCTGTCCCCTGCAGTCTGTACTGCGTGTCTGGGCCTGTCTCAGAGCTGGCCAGGCACCAGTGGACTCCCCATCCTGGAAACCAGCCCAGGCTTCCTGGAGAAGAGCTTGGACACTCCCAGCCTTTGATCTTTGGGACCAGAGGTTGAAATCGCCTCCCTCAGGAAGCCTTCTCTGGATCACCCTTCCCTCCCCCACCCATAAGTGTCTTTCGTCTGGGCAGCCCTCAACCCTACAAATGCCTCTAATAAAGAGTTCTTCTCATACCCTCCAGTGATCTGCCTAGACATGAAGGATGCTAGGGAAGTAAGAAAGGGACCAGAGGAGGGAGGGGATGAGGCCTGAGTCACCAAAGCTGGTGTCTTTGAGTTTTATTGGCAAAGGCTGTCCATTGTAGTGTGGGAGGTTAGACCAATAGATCTAGTGTCTGCGAAATAAAATTCATTATCTGGCCTCTCTAGAGAGATATGCAGCCCCCTCAAGAGAGCTGGGCTGAGGAAGGAGGCCATTGTCCCAGCCAGCCTCCCTACCCCCCTCCCTGGGTTAATTAGTGCCATCAGTTGGAGACAGCCCCCTGCTCGTGCAGTGCGTCCCATGGTGGTTGGCACTTGGCCTTCAGAACCGTGTGAACCTCCCGGCACCGCAGGGTTTCAGTCTCTGGCTGCATGCATGGTGTGGACACGGCCGCAGGTCCATCTGTCAGAACCAGGGCCCAGCCTCATCTCTCAGCCAGGCTGGCCAGGATGCTAATGAGATTGTCCAGCCCCAGCAAATAGCCGTCCTCGCGGTTGCCCTCCTCCCAGGGCCGCCGGTGGTCCAGGGTCTGGCCGTCAGGGAGGGGCGTGGTCTTGCCGAAGTCAATGAGCCACACACCGGCGCGATGGCAGTGATCGTGCACGAAGAGCAGCGAACTGCCGATCACCTGTCGAGCCCCACATGGTCAGGCCACGGCCCTTTCCTGGAGAAGCCCCCCATCCTAATCCTGCTGTAGCCCTCACAGACCACAGTTCCCGCACCTGAGCCTACCCCTCTTACCTCGTGCCTCCTAAAGAACTCAGAGACCTCCAGAGTGTCCCGGATCTGCTGCAGGCGGTTCAGATACCTCCTCTGGAGAGAACAGGGTAGGAGAGGAAGGCAAATTAATTAAACACTAATTGAGCCTCTGCTAAAATTAGGGGCCACGAAGCATACTTGGCTTGACAAATACCGTGGTGAGGAAGACACAGGCCGGCCCCCAGGTGGGATAAATGCTACGATGGGGGGGGGGAGCGGGTCACGGCAAGGGAGCTAAACCGGATGACCTAGGGGCACCCCTCGTTTTCAGGTTTCCCCAACACCCCAGGGTTCTAGGATCCGGCGCTCACCAGCACTTCCGCATCCCCTTGCACAAACTCCTCGAAGACACGAATCACCTGCTCCCGGCTTCGCGTCGTCTTGAAGTCGGTGCTGCAGGAGCCATCAGCTTTCTGAAGGAGATGGGACAGGAAGGGTCAGGGTCCCCGTGTCTCTCCTCAGCTCAAGGGGAGAGGATCAGACTAGAGCAGCAATACCTCCCAGGACGTTAGTTGCAGGGACGGCAGAAAGGCCGCCAGAGGGTGCCTCGTGGTGGGGGTCAACAACAGGGCAGATACCGCACGGCGGGGTTAGGGCTGAGGGAGGGACAGGGCTCTGCAAAGCGAAGCGGGACTGGCCCACCTTGATGCCTTCGATGCGGAAGCCCAGTGTGGTGCTGGAACTGATGCCTTCTCGCCACTGCATGTAGCGTGGCTTGGTGACCGCGCGCTGCGCGTGCTCCTCCTCGGTAGGAGCCGCCGGGTCTACCGCCAGCATCTTCTTGTACATGTCCTTCCGCAGCTTAGGCCGCTCGCGGGCTTTGGTCAGCTCCTCTTCCAGGTAAGTCCTGCGGAGGCGCGGGCAGCGGCGGGGCGTAAGACGGCGCACACCTGGAACCGGTCCAGCGCGACTTTGGGCACCCGGTAGAGCGCTCATCCCCTCCCTGTGTGCGCGCCCAGCCAGGCATGACACGTGTACCTGACGCCCATCTTGCAGTCAAGTACGCAGGGCCCATCGAAGCCGTCGAGCAGGTCCTGTAACTGCAAGTAGCTCTCGCCGTCGCGCTCCACCACGCCGTGGAAGGCGGGCACGCAGCCGCGCAGCGCGTCCGCCATGAGCCGCGCCAGGCAGTAGCGCTCCGGCTCTGAGCTGCGCTTCAGGATCAGCCCGCTGGTGCCAGCCGCCTTGAAACTCCCTGCAGACTGGCACCAGTTAGCGCTGCCTGGTCCCTTCCTACTCCAGACACCCACCCACCTCACCGGCGCCTGCCCTGTGCTCACCCGTGTGCCCAGCCAGCTGCACCCAGGCATAGCGCCTCTTGAAAGGGCTCATGACGGGCAGATTCACCATGGTCCGAATCTTCTGCCAGTGGCTTTTCTGAAAGCGACACGGTCCAGTGTGCACGTTGGCGTCTCAGCAGTGCTTAAGCCCGCCCTCCTTTGGAATAGGGTCTCCTGCCCCAACCCACCGCAAGTAGCTAGGGCCCCACGGTTCACTCACTCACTCAGTCACTCACTCAGTCACTCAGTCACTCACTCACTCAAGGAAGGTTTATTGTGAGCCTATGTGGAGGACACTGAGATGGGCACAGGGTGATGGCAGATATCCAGCTTATGGACTGTGCTGAAAACAGCCTTGAATTTAATGCCAAAGGGCTCAGGTTTGCACCCCACTCCTGCTGCTCTGAGCTGAGTGGGCAGGTTACTAAAGTGCTCTGTCAAGGATTTAGAACTTTCCTGAGCTTGAACATCACCTGATGGTCACCCCGGTTAAAAAATGCAGACGCTCAGGTCTGCCCCAGGGGGAAATTCTAAGTAGGTCTGGGTGGAGCCAAAAATTTGCATTTCTAACATTGCCTCAGGAGATTCTGGGGCCTGAGAAACAGGCCTCTGAGTGTCAGTTTCTTCATCTGTAAAATGGGGAAATAATCACTCTCCCTGGGTTGTTATGAGTAGTAAATGAGGCTTGAGTGTGACAGGCTCCATCCTCCCCAGCCCCATTCTTTGGCATGAAGCAGAAACTGGACAAATTTGGATTCTTGTTTCGTTCACTTTGGACCATTGGCTACTCTCATTTAGGGAGACAAACATGGAAACAAACTTTTGCAAAGGCCCAGGACAGAGAGGCTAGCCTGGCAGGGCCTGTGAAAAGAATGGCTTAGGGCTCCCTGAGACCCTCTTGCTATTCCTGATGCCTTTTCACTCCTCACCAGTTGGCAAGGCTCGGGGCATCCTTGGTCTTGATCTAGACCCAGAAACCTGAGCCTTGAAAATGGGATGCAGAGCTGAGAGCCTATCATTTTAGATGAAACCGGGAAGGAAATGTAGATTTTGGTGTGCTTCTTGCCTCATGACCATGGCTTCTGGCCTCCACCCAATTCAGAGAGCAGCTCATACTCTGGACCTTTCCTTTTCCCACCCAAAACTCATCAGCCCTGTGTCCACCCTCTAAAGTACACAGGTTTGCTCATCCAAACTGTGTCTGCTGCCTCCTCGTAGGGGTACTTGCCTCAGAGGAGTGGCATATGTGTTGCAGGAGTTATAGGGCTGGAACACAGAAATACAGCCTCCCTGATCAGAGAGAGTTCCAAGAGGGAGAGGGAGAACTTGGCCTAAACAGGGGAAGTCTGCTGCTTTCCCATGGGGAGGAGATAGGGGTTAGTGACAGGGCACTGGAATCATGTGTTCTGTCACTTTTTAGCTGAGTGAACCAAAGTGAGGATTTCATCTGTGTGAGCCTGTTTCCTCTGGGAGGATAGAGCTGCTGCCATAACACGAGCCACCATTTACTGACCGCCTACTGCCTGCCAGGCGCTTCTCATCTTCCATCAGAAAGCACTGCTCCTACTTTCCTACTGAAGTCCCTACATGGCACACTAGGGTGTGATCACGTGTCCAACCCCCAGGGATCTGGGGGTGTAGCCAGAAGCAGCCCACTAGAAACATGACATCTCTTTCAAAACTCCTTTTTTTACTCTTTAAATACATGCAAGGTTTGCATTCTGCTGCATAATAAATCCAAGTTTTATTATAAAACTCTCCCACCTCCAAATCTTCAAGTAAAATTCCAGGAAGATGTATGCGCCATGTGTATTCAGTGGCACCGTCCTATACCCCCTTCTCCCACTCATGATTTTCAAATCATTCACATGCAAAGCAAGAGCATGGGGTGGTAGCATTATTGCCATTTTACAGAAGGAAATCAAGGCTCAGAGGAGTTAACATCCCCTCACTCCCTGCCTCCAGCCTCCCAGCTTCTGGATGAAGTTCTCTACCAGCCCAACCTCCTCCCCCACGTCCCAATTACCCCATCAGTTTCCAAAATCCATTCTACCACCCCAATTCCCTTTGGGGGTCAAATGGGACCCTGCATGAGAAAGAGCTTTGTGTAAGATGAAGCAATCTGCAGCCACAAGGTGGGCTGTCTGCTCTCTGGGGAAACACTGAGATCTGCCTGCAAACTCCTCTCTGTTGGCTGGACATCTCTGTCTTCATCCAAAGGAATGGGTTTAATGGTATGGTTTCAGGCAGCTTTAGGAGCCTACTGACAGAAGCTTGGGGACAGTGGGGCCAGAATGGACTTGGAGGGTATATCTAGTTCTGTAGCCACCCCAGGGGAAGAGGGAGCCAGCCCTGGGTTAAGTGAGATGGGAGAACCACACCATCCCTTCTTCTGGGATTTTGTGGGAGCAGTGAGTGGGGATGGAAGGTGGGAGGTGGGCCCAGTAGAAGAAGATTTAGTGCCTGCAGTCCTGGGCTACTGTCACTTGATTGATGCATGATAACACAGCACTGATTTGCTTCCAAGCTGAGGTAAAATGGGGTCATCACCTATTCTCCTCCAATTTTGTGAGGATCATATCAGCCAAGAGTAGCAACAACTAAGGCTGGTTCCAGCCATGCAGGTTACAAGGGGGTTTCATCTGAACCCTCCCAGCCACTTCCTGGGGTTGGTAGGACAGAATTTAGCTCCCCTGCCAGTGAGGGATATGGTCAAACACGGAAGGAGTCTATGCAAGTATCAATGAACTCACCACCATCCATCTTAGGGAGCTGCCTCCTCCAGGGAACATAATGCAGATAAAAATGCATGTATTCAAAAAGGCTCCTGAAGAGTCATTCTTTAGTGGGTGGGCGGGAATTGTGGCACATGAACAACAGCAAGGAAGATATTTTTGAGCAGGTAAGGCTTTTATTATATGGATATCAAAAAGCAGATTTGTTATTTCTAGCTGGAAACAGGGCCAAAGCCCCAACCTTGGGCCCAGCCTACCCTCCATAGAAGTCTGGGAAACCAACTCACACCCATAGGCTGCCTGGGCATCTTGGGGCAAAAAAACCCAGGAGAGCTGATTATGTGAAAGAGTCTTTGAGGAAGTCACAGGGGCACCTTCTGATCCTCACCCCTGGGGCTAGACAGGGACCATCTCTCTCTGGGAAGGGTTTGGCTGGACATTAGCCTCAGACCTTCCTTTGTCCAAGCTCCATTCGGAAGCCCTGAGGACTCCTGCTTCTTACAGCACACCAGATACTCATCCCCATTCTTCCTGACTCTGGCTCTGGCTCCCTACCTCCAGCCATTCAGTCTTGGGCTGAAGCACTCTGCCAGCCCAACCCCCTCCTCATGTTCCCATTGCCCTATCAAACCAGCACTCCCTGTGGTGGTGGTGGTGGTGGTGGTGGTGGTGGTGGTGGTGGTGGGAGCAATCAGTTTAAATTTATAAAATGATTTGCACTAAGGTATAAGTGACCCACGACTTCACCCTCCCAGGGGCATTTGCTTTTTAAAAAGGAAGTCTGTTAACCTAAATTCTGCTCTATAATTAGTGAAAAGTGAAGTGTGGGAGTTCTGGGTCCAGGACAGGATGGCATCAAGGTCTCTTTACCCATCCTAGAGCACTGAAAGAGGAGAACCAAATGAACAGGAGCCAGATACCCTCCCTACAGCAACACCCCAAAACTGTTTTAAGAGGCAGGCAAGGCCTAAGAGGACAGTCATGCTGGCTGCTCTTGGGGATAGGCCCCCAACTCCTCTCCTGATCTGTCTGGGTTTCTCTGCCCGTGACTTTTCCCTCTTCCAGAAGAAAGGCCCCAGGAAGGAGGCAGGCTGCCCAGTCCCAGGATAGTACCCTGCCGGGAGCCCAGCTCCAGGCTCTGGGCAGGCTGTGTGGTGCTCCTAGGAGCTGGGGAAAGATGTGTCAGGCAGAGGCAAAGTGGAGACTTTCAGGGCCGCCTCTTGCTTCCAGCTATACCATTATCTACCCATGCCCTAGTGTCAGGGCCTGGCAAGCTGGGAGCTCCCGAGCTCTGCTGCAGGACCCTTCTCCCGGCGCATCCTTCACCGTCAGCCAACCGATGGCCTCAGCTTCCTGACCGGGGAAGCCCTGAAGGCAGCCTAGGCGGGCACTCTGTGCCGCTCCCCGACCGGCCGTGAGGCAAAGTCCGCGCCTGGCCCTTCCACGCGGGCGCAGGCAGCCTCTGTCAACACCTACTGGCTTATCTGCCGCCGCCGTGGCTGTTTGCCTTCGGGGAGGCCCCGGCGGGCTGGGGGTTGGGAAGGCCTGGGAGACGCAGCCTTGGAGCTGTAAGGGCCCGCAGCGGCCATCTGCTCCAGCTCCTGGCTGCGCCGATAGAAGGCGAAGCTTGGCGAGGGAGAGGCCGGCCGAAGACGCCTAGGGCACAGCTGCAGCTGGTCTTCGGAGTCTTGACCCCAGGCGGCGTGCCTATGTTGCAGGCAGGATTGGGCCCCGGGCCCTCCTCCGACTGTAGGCGGAAGAGGGAAACGGGGGCGGAGGGCGGGGGGGGGGGGGGGCGCCCCCCTCCTGGCGTCCTTTCTCCTGATCCCGCCTCTCAGCTGTCAGAGATCTGACCCGGGGAACGGTGCACCCAGAACTACTGCTCCGGATTTCGGAGGAGGTGGGAAAGGAGTCCTCTCACTGCCCCACATTCCACGGCTTTGGAGATTCCTCGATGGCACCCGCATCCCTCTGTGAGCCAGGGTTGTACTAGGAATGATCACGGATCAGGGAGGGGTATCCTTTTCATCCGCGGAGGAGAGAGGGACTCCCCGCACCCTACACCTGACTGCGGCGGGGTGTGTGCGTGTGTGTGCGCGTTTGTGTGTTCCTGCTCTATGAGACTTTTCCCTCTTGTACCTTACAAACCACGCTGCCTTCTGGAGAATGTACGTCTCAGCGGGTAACTGATTCACAGATCCACTGCAAGTCGTTACAGGGTCTCCTCCGCCTCATCCAGTCCGACCGAGCGGCGAAGCCCGGGTTCAGCAGGCAGAGGCCGCGCCTCAGGGCTCTCAGGCTCTCCCCACCGCGCCCAGTGTCCGCCGCTCTCACCGCCCTTCTGGGCAGGCTCGGAACCACCAGAGCCTGCGGGACGCCCTTCGCCTCTCCCTCCACTCCAGGGACACTTGCATAACGGGGATCTAGAGCAACTCCTTCGCGTTGACCGCGGGTAGTTATTTAAAGTATTTGGCCTTGGTTAAAACGAGGGGGTCAAGATGGCTATCCCGGGCGCCGCACACCCCTGAGGGGCAGGCATGGGAATGACTTCGCTGCACCCTGGCCGGGGTTATCTGAGGGTCAAACCTGGCACCGGAACAGCCAGGTTACCGGAGTAGGGACTAGCAGGCGGATCCCGCTTTTCAGCCTCAGTTTACCTCCTCCCGGCTTTCCTTAGGAGCAGGAAACCCGGGGAGGGCTGCGTCCCACTCCCTACCGGAGCCCCCAGCCCCACGCCCCTCCCTTTTCTGCGTCCACATCTTGTGCGGGCGCCGGGAGCAGACGGCGGCGGTTCCCGAGCAGAGCCTGGAGCGCCTCTCCACTCCCACTCAGGAGAGGGAAACCGTGGCAACGGCGGCGGGTGGGGCCGCCGCGCGGGAGAGGGGGTGGGGAGAGAGGGAGACTCCTTCACCCCTCTCTCTTCGAGAGTTCGCGGGGCAAGACCAAGCCCCTCCGATCCCTCAGCCCCACTTCGCAGCCAGCAAGTCACGATCTCCACCTCCGCCCTACCCGGTGCTCGCGACCGGTCGCAGACTCCTCCTCCCTCTCTTTCTTAGACGCCCCAGGGCCCGGGCAGCGACCCGCAGGTGGAAGCCGGGTGAAAACTGCCAAGGAGGGAGGTCAGCCCAGCGCGTCCTTGAGAACCCCATGCTCCTGCTAAGCAGGACCCCAGGCGGAGGGAGCTTAGCGCAGAAGTCGGCGCTCAGCCAGCTCAGAGCTGGGTCCGCCGCACGCAGCCCCCGCGCCCCGCGCTGGCCCCGCCCCCGCGGCCCATACCTGACCCACGTCCTCGCTGGCTTCCAGCTGCACGTTGCCGCGGCTCCGGCTTTCGCTGTCGCTCAGCAGATCGTCCTCTGAGTCCTCGGGCAGCGACGAGGAGCCAGTAGAGGAGAGCGACGAGGTGGAGAGGCGGCGCGGCTGCTGCAGGTGTGAGGAGCCCACGGCCGGGAGCCAGCCACCCTCCGGCTCCGGTGGCCCCGGGCTGGTCGGGGGTACGTCCGGCTCCTCAGCTGTCACAGTCAGCTGCGGGATCACCGGGGCAGGGGGAGCCCGCGGAAGCCCGTTCGGGACCTGTCCCCCACGCCTTTTGGCCCCGCGGGCCCGGGGCTCCCCTGCGGCGGCGGCGGCAGCGACCGCCGCGCAGCGCGCCTCGAAGAGCAGGCGCAGCTCCCCGACACTCCGGCGCGGGGCCCGCTCCAACCCCGGGCTGCAGGGCCCCGCGCCCCCCGGCCGCGCCATGCTCGTCGGGCCCCCGGGCAGGGTCATTTCCCCGCACGCGAGCCTCAGCGAAGCCCACCAGCCCGCGGCGCAGCGAGGACTGGAGACGCTCAGCGCCCCCGGCGCGAGACTGCCCCGAGGCGGAGCCTGCGCGGCTGCCCGCCTGGGCCCCGCCTCGGCCGCGCCCCCCGCCCACTCCTTTCACTTTCAGAGAAAGCGCGGGCCTCCAAGGGCTCCCTGTTGCTCCTCCAGGTGACCGGGAAGCTCAGACCTCGTGGACACAAAGTCAGGGCCTGGCCTTCGCAACCTCTCTGTCCCCGCTCTCGAAGAGACCGGAGGGGTCGCTCCGCCCCCGGGCCCTACTGCCTTGGAACTGGTCCTGCTCTCGCTCTCCTACCCAGTCCCTCCGGCTCCTTTCCACGATCCATCCTGGGCCAAGGATTCCTGGTCTCCGGGCTTTCCTTCAGCATGGAATGCAAGGCCATCAGCTTCCTGGGGAAGCCTCACCCCAGGGCGTGCGCCCAAGTGGGGACTCTGTCCTGGGCAAGACCTGAGGCTTCTTCCCCCCAAGCTCCCCACTTCTCAGCTGGCAGAGAACAAGGTCAGGGGGGCGGGGCCTGAATCTCGCGGCGAGTCCTGGCGCAGTCCTGGGCAGCATCCCTTGGCTACTGGCTGGCAGGGGCTGTGCCCTTCTGACTCCTTTTTCTGTGGAATTCGGAGCGTGGAGTCTGCTGTGTGATCCTAAGCAAGTCATTTCACCTCCTTGAACTGTTGATTCTTTTCCGCAGGGTTGTCGTCTACCTCACAGAATTGCTAGGAGAATAAAATAAAATGAAAGATGTAAAATCTATACAATATGAGAATAGTTTTAGTGTGGGTGGTAGGAAGAGCCAGTCTCAGGTTCATCACACTCTAGATGTGATCTTTGACGTCTCTTCCCTTTGTAAATTTAGGGAAACCTCACCTGACCCAGAGTTGTGGCTGTGACAGGGTAAGAGAGCCACGACGCTGGCTCATCCGTGGTATCGTGGTGCAGTATTTGGCCACTTCACAAGTTAGTGGTCGGCTGAACTGCAGGGCTGCTGTAAGTAGAGTTTGTATTTCACAGCATTTCTTGTCTTCCCCCAAAATGCCACCGGGGAGGATCCCTCCTCAGGTGCCTCGTGCCTCAGGATTGTTGGGGACCCTGTGGGGCAGGATGCCGCAGAAGGATTGCCTCTGATGCTGATGAAGGCCAAAAGAAGCTCTCCTTCCCCTCATCTCCCTTCAGCTAGATTCAAGGATGGCCCAGGAGGAGACAAAAGGAGGGTTCAGAGAGAGAAAATGGGAAGCTTCAGCAGAGCAAAAAGGAGAAGGTCCTGGGGGAATTGATGAAGAAAGTAAAAGTGTGGAAGGACGAGTGGAGGGGAAGGAGAGAAAGAAGGAAATACAGGAGTTTGACTATTCAGAGAACCTGGGAAATCACATGGCTACTTTCTGCGGGCACAGAGATCTAGAGGAGCCTGGGTGTGTGTGAAGGGCGTACTCTAGAGCTTGATGGCTCAAAAGCCATGTCTCCTGCACTCACTTCCCTCTTTTGGGGCTACCTTGGTCTCTGGTGGGACTGGTACTGCCCTCAGGGTAGGGGCAGGCTGGGGGCAAACCCGGGATGGGGAGAGTCCACAAGGACTCGCCAGAACTGAAAAGGTGGGAGGGAAATGAGAGGAGGGAACATGCACTGTGCACCTGTTAATGTTTGTGAGATATATATATATATATATATATATATATATATATATATATATATATAAACGACAATGTTGGAAGCACAAGCAAGCCAGGAGCTGGCTGCCAAGAGAAAACTCAAGGGCAATTCTTTTTCTTCTTCTATTAGGCACTTGTCCTAAGCCCAGAAAGCAAAGAAGAGCTCTTTGCCCTATTTTCCAAGTATCCCTCAGTGGAAAGGTAAGGACAAACTTGGGAATGGGTATTGAAATGAGAGCTAATTTCATAGACTTTTTAGAAAATGTTTATTTATTTAGAGAGAGGAGGGAGCAGAGAGAGAGGAAGAGAGAGAATCCCAAGCAGGCTTCCTGCTGATAGCACGAAGCCCAATGCAGGGCTTGACCTCACAAACAATGAGATCATGACCGAGAGTCAGCAGCTGCTTAACCAACTGAGCCACTCAGGGGCCCCAATTTCATAGACTTTTAGAGTGGGAAGGACCTTTAGGTTCATCCTGTTCTCCTCAAAACACAGGAGAAGTAACAAAGGAGTTAAATGGCTCAACCCAGGAGGTTACAGTCTTTGCACAAGGCCACACAGCTAGTTGGTGGAAAAGCCAGAGAGTCTTGGCTAGATCCACTGACTTCTATTCCTGTGCCGTGCATACTTTCTTTTATTAGCATCTTATAGTTCAGTCTCTAGTTCCTTATCCGAGGAAGGCAGAGTCTGCCTCCACCTACTACAGGCAGAAGGCATAGGGGCACATACTGGGGCAGAGCCGGGGGTCCCGATATAGCAGTGGGACAAGGCCAGGGGGCTCTCATGTTGTCTTAGTTGAGCCAGGAATGACCTTTCAAATCCTGGAATCATGTTGTTTGTGCCTCAGTTTCCACAGTTCTTGAAGCTGTGAGTAGATGGCTACCCGTAGAGTGCTGTGGAGAAAATCAGACTACTATATAGATGGAGGAAAGGCCTCTTGTGTGTTGCAAAAATGGGAAACGGGGGCATAGAGGAATGTTGCAAGGTTTTGATGGACATGAGGTGGCTAATCTGAGATAGGCCATGTGCGTCTCTCTGCCTTATTCACAAGGCCAGCTATGTGTCTGACGAGAAAACTGATCTCTCTTCTTCTGTGGCATCTCAGTTCAGGGATCCTCCTGTACCCTTGAGGCCTTCTCTCTAGAGTGTCTGAGTCTTCACTCCTCTCCATGGCTTTCGGGATTTATCAGGCCTGGGAGCTACATCCCTCCTAGGCAGTAAAGACAGTGGGCACAAAGCTGGGAAAGGGGGAGGCCTGGAAAATAGGGTGTGTGAGGTGAGGGTTTTCTGGAGGCTTGGTTTCATTCCCCAATACATTCCCCAATACATTCTGCCTTATTTAGCTCTGCCCCTCTCTCCCCACCCTGAGGGGCAGGAGTAAAGTCACTGCTCGCCATTCCCTGCCAGGCACAGGACTAAGTTCTTCTTCCCAAAAGCCACAGGCAGGCCCTTTCACCTGAGGGAGAAAGGACAGAGCACTGCCTTTGCTTTGAGGGACCTCGAAAGCTTCCCCGGAGAAAGCAGAGCCTCTATAGTGTGTGCATGTGTGTGTCTGTGTGTTGGGCGCAGGGTGGTGGCAAATCTTCCTCTGGACCAAGTGATACAGGTTCTTATTCTGGTCAACAACTCCTAGATGTGCTCTGTGAGACCTGGTGTCCTCCAAGGGACTTCCTGACCCCAAGATTCCAATATTTTGTGACAATACCTGTGATCCATTCATTGATTCACAGAGAAAACAAACCTCCCTTGAGCAGTTTCCTCAAACCAGGCACTGTGCTAGGTGAAAAGGATACAAGGAGTGGTTCCTGTAATGACCTCCCTTCATTATATGGAATGGTGGTGTATCATTTTACATTGTCTTCTGGAGAAAGGAAACCAGAAAGGACCCATCAGAAAACAGGCCCCAGGGTGCTACATGGCTCTTTTTCCAAGGGGCTGTCACTAAGACCTTGCCCTTTCAGGGGCTCCATGCATCCCAACCATTCCCCATCCTGGTCAGTCTGGGGCCCATCTCTGCCCAGAACAAACTAGAGAGGGCGCTGGAGGGCTGGCCAAAGCCAGGGCCAATGGCAACTTGAGGGTGGGGTTAGAATTGGAGGTCTCCTTCCTCCTGGGAAGAGGAGTGAATGGCTGTTTTCACCTGACAGCCCCAGACTCTTTTCTTTGAGAAGGTTTCTCTTCCTTCCCCATGCAATCTCTGACCTCATTATGGATAGACCTGATGGGAATATTCTGGGATTTCGAGCTAGGCTAGTTTAGCAGGGCTGGGGATCCAGCAGCCTTTGCTGACCCTTCACCATCTGAATCACTCTGGTTTAAAACAAACAAAATGTGTCACCGCGCCTGTGTATGCGCAATAAGAACATTTTCTCTCCTGACACACTTCAGAAACAAGGTTTCCCATCCCTCCCAGGAGCCTGTGTTCCTGTGGTTCTCCCTCCTCCCTCTCTTCATAACTCAGAACCCGCAGGATCTCTCCCGCGGCCTAGTGGAGGCAGAGGGGACCGAGAGCATATGAGGTCAGGGATGCGGCTGCCGGTCGGTCCAAGGAACTGCTCTGAGAATGCTGTGGGTGCCTGTCGGTAGGCCTCTGTCCCTGAGGCCCCCCCCAGGACACCTCCCTGAATCTTGTGCCCGAGGGCGTGGGTGCCTCCCCTAATTCCATTGGTGACCTCTCTGCAGCCTGACTTCCACCCCTGGTGCTAGGCGGCCGACTGGCCGGCATCCGGTGGCCGGACAAAAAGAGCCACCGGGAAGTCGCGCGCAGGCCCCAAGACGCGGGTGTTGAAAGCCGAGGCCCCGCTCCCAAATCCGGGATGTCGCCGGGAAGCGCATCCTGCTGGCGTCCACGGCTGGAGGTGCGCGCGCACGTGCGGGCAGCCGGCCCCAGTGGGCGAGCCCAAGTCAAGGGTGTTGGCTCGTCCGGGCTGGGCGGCACACTAGCCCTGGGGTGAACGGGCCTACCTGCCGCAACCGCGTTTCTCGCTGCCTTTGGTCGACCCCAAAGGACTGGGCGCTGCGGTCCGGGGACAGGATGGGAGGGACAGGTGGGACCGAATGCCCCAGAACGCGTCGGCTCCGCTGGACATCCGTTTGCCCCCCTTCCCTCCACCACATTTACTGGGCGTTACCTAGGTGCCAGGGGGCGCTGGGTGCTGCGGATATGCGGCAGACCCAAGTAGCTAACAGGCTCAGGGTGGGGACTCATAAATTATTACCTGGTGAGTGCTGCTCTAGGGAGAGCCAGTAGAAGGTGCTCCCAAACCAGATTGGGAGGGGAGATCAAGGAAGGCTTCCAGGAGGAGGTGACCTTTCGGCTGAGCTCTGTAGGGTGAGGAGGTGTTCTCCAAGGAAAATCGGTGGAGATAGACCAGTGCATTCCAGGTGAGAGGTGAATGTGTCTGCGGCTGAGCAAGACCTGGTCTCCGCCTACACTTTTTTTTTTCTTTTTTAATGGTTTATTGTCAAGTTAACTAACATACAGTGTATACAGTGTAGTCTTGACTTCGGGAATAGATTCCTGTGATTTCATCGCTTACATACAACACCCAGTGCTCATCCCAACAAGTGCCCTCCTCAATGCCCATCACCCATTTTCCTAGCCTCCCCCCAACCTCTTCCACCCATCAACCCTCAGTTTATTCTCTGTATTTAAGAGCATCTTATGGTTTGCCTCCCTCTCTGTTAACTTATTTTTCCTTCCCTTCCCATATGGTCTTCAGTTAAGTTTCTCAAATTCCACATATGAGTGGAAACATGTATCTGTCTTTCTCTGACTTATTTCACTTAACAAAATACACTTCAGTTCTATCCACATTGTTGCAAATGGCAAGATCTCATTCTTTTTCATCAGGGGTAGTATTCCATTGTGTGTATGTATGTATATATACATACCACATCTTCTTTATCCATTCATCAGTTGATGGACATTTGGGCTCTTTCCATAATGTGGCTATTGTTGATAGCGCTGCTATAAACTTTGGGATACTTGTGCCCATATGAATCAGCACTCTTGTATCCTTTGGATAAATTTCTAGTAGTGCTATTGCTGGGCCGTAGCGTAGTTCTATTTTTAATTTTTTTTTTTTTTTTTTTTTTTGAGGAACCTCTACACTGTTTTCCAGAGGGGCTGCACCAGTTTGCATTCCCACCAAAGTGCAAGAGGGTTCCCCTTTCTCCACACCCTTGCCAACATCTGTTGCTTCCTGAGTTGTTAATTTTAGCCACTAGGACCAGTGTGAGGTATCTCACTTGATCTTAGCCAAAAGGCCGAGAAGCGATTTGTGTGAGGTATCTCAATGTGACTTTGATTTGTATTTCTCTGATGATGCGATGAGCAATGTTGAGCATCTTTTCATGTGTCTGTTCTGCATGCACTTTTCAAACCAGGGTCACTGACAGCTGAAAAAGAAAAAAAATTCCTTTGATATTTTAAAGAAGGTATCAAGATAGTCCTTGTGGGAAAGATCAGAACATTTTCTTAGTCATCTTTACACATATTTTCCAGTTTGGTACTGCTTGTATGTTTTAATTACTCTTGGTGGTGGTGAGTAGGTCAAGCCTCACAATCTTTGAGATTGCTGGGGTGGTGGTGAGGTGGGAGTCTTCTGAGCCACTTTCAGACTGTCCATTCTGTCCATTTCAGACTGTCCATTTGGCCAGCAAGGGCAGGCCAAAAAGCAGCTCTGCTTCCCTGGACTTTCCCCAGACCAGCCCCAGTGCCCACGCTCGTAATCTCAACCTGAAAGCAGAATTTCTTGACCCTGGAGGTGGTTGCTGCCAGGAGTTCCTGAACTAAGTGCTTCAGCTTCTGGAGGCTCCGCTGCCTGGTTTCCTACAGCTTCCACCTTGTCCCTCAACTCACTGCCCACTCTATCCCAACCCCCCACCCCCGCCACTCTGCCCCTGAAGTCTCTCCTCCCAAGAACAGTGGCCTCTGCTCTAACAACAGCATTATTGAACCCCTTCTGGGGAAAGGTACACTTAATCTTTAAGACCACTCTGACAGATCTTACGTTGTAAAGATGGGAGATTTGTGGCTCAGAGGAGTTAACTAGCTCAGGCCTAGGTAGTAAGTGGCAGAGCAGAGATATGAACCCTGTACTGAGCCTGCAGTGTCCTGTGGCTCCTGGCTCTCCTTTGGGTCCAGAGCACCATCTGGAATCCCTAGATGTGCCTATGCTGTGGTAGCTGAGCCCCCA